TTCGATACCTGTGGTGGGCAGAGCACAGATAGCCCATTGTGTAGCTTTGTGCTTAATTACAAACAAATTGAGCATTCATTCTATGATATTCAAACTTTAAGTAGAAATAAAGACATCAGATATTATGTTTATCACAGTATTGGGTACGAGACATTGCAATTACAAAGAAATAACTTCCTTATGATATATTTATACTCTACGTTATCATTATTCAGTAATGCCTGAATTCAGATATTAATTCGTATTTCATGTTTACTTTTTTTTTTGCAGAAAATAGTTTTCAATATAAAGGATCGCCACCCCTTTCACTAAACTGTTTGATACTTGATACAAGGTCTGACTGTACAAATTCCTTGGTACGATTATCCCCTGGCCCGTAAATAAGTTCCCACGAAACTCACGTGAACAACACGCTACCTGTTCGACAAGACCGGTTCCATCATGTACCGTTACTTGGCGTTTTACACCGTTATAAATGTACAGTGATCGGCCTGGAACCTTCACATTTCATCGAAGCCTCGTATTTCCTCCGTAGGGTGTCGCTGTAGTCGATATCCTATTTTACCAGCTTCAGAAGCCGGTCGTTCGTTCTAAGCTTGCAAGTTAAACAACGTGTAGGATGGACGCCGACTGGTCTTAACAGCTGTGGAAGTGTGAAAAAGTGAAAACGGCCTGACAGAGCAACTTTTCTAGCAGCTGGACCTAGACTATTTTCCAATCTCTCGTACCTCTGCAGCAAATGACTAGGTGCACAACTGGTAAATGTCCATCGTTTGAGAGTTTTACCTGTTTCGACTGATTGGCTTTCCACTACAAATTACAATGGATTTTAAAAACAAAGTACAGCAGGCTCCTAGTGTTCTACTTTTTTTAACGTACTTGATATTGGGTGAGTAGTTGTACAATTCAGTATAAGTTCGTACGAACAGTTATGGAGTGTGGTTTCTAACCAGTAACTCCATACTCCAGAAATTTTAAGTTGTTATAAAGCATTTTTTTTGTATGTGTGTGTGTGTTTGTGCGTGTTTTTTTTTTTTTTCGCTTCATAAGTGAGTTGGGTAAATAATAAAATGTACACGGTTTGTGCTTCCTGTTATTTCTATTTGTTAATTTATCTTGTTCGGTATATTTTACTAAATATTGTACTGTTTCGCGTGTTAGATTATCTTTAGCTCTAAGCTGCACAATGGGTTATCTGCACTCTGTCCCCGTATTATAGTTGACCCACGGAGAACATTTCGTGTGGCATATTTATCTAATGTTCTGGTTTGAGTTTCCTCATGGGCTTAGTATATTTCACACTATCATAATGTATTTTTACATATGAGCATAATTAGTACTCATTTTGATATTTGTTTCTTAGCACAAAGCTACTTTACGGGCTATCTCTGCTGTGCCCACAACAAGTATTGAAACCATCAGACGTACTACTGAGTCACCAGAGGCGTATATATATATTTATATATACACACTTTGGAATAAGACTCACTTTGTTCGTTGTTTCAATAAAGTATTTTTTACTTTACGGGCTATCTCTGCTGTGCCCACAACAAGTATTGAAACCATCAGACGTACTACTGAGTCACCAGAGGCGCTTATATATTTATATATACACACTTTGGAATAAGACTCACAAAACGATGTGTTTGTTCGTTGTTTCAATAAAGTATTTTCAAGCAAGTAAGAAATAATCTCTTTAAATTCAGTTCGTATCATCCGTAATAAAAATATAACCCGGTGGGCCAAGTGTGGCCCAATGGTTGATATGTCAGACTATCGATCTTCGGGTCTGCATTCGCGTCCCGTTAACTGATAAACAAAAACAACCTCCGCACTTGGGGGCCGTGGATGAATTTAAGAACTACTGTCAAATCCCACTATTCGGCCAGACAAAGAGTATCACAAGAATTGGCGGTTGGTTCTGTTGACCAGCTGTCTGTTCTATAATTCACCAATTCAAAATTAGGAACAGATAGCGCAGATACCCCTTGAATTGCTTTGCGTGAATATCCCCAAACTAGCAAAAAACAAAATAACTCGGTACTAAACAAATAACTGTGCAATAAACAGTGAAGGATTTTGGTGTACTCGATATTATGTAGTAAAAACTTTTTACAAAATTTTTGAGTCAACTTCTTTTGGTATTTTTGAATTTACTAAATTTAAGATTTTAAAAATATGTTCTTTTTCTTTTTCAAATGCTTATAGGTCAGTTCAAAACAGTTGACAATAATTATATGAATATAAAAGAAGAAACTTGTGTTGTTGATGAATTGATTTTTAGACTATAAACTGTATAGACTTGCTTCTTGTTAAGCCTAATGGATTGAATTTTAAACTATAAATTGTATAAAACTGCTTGTTGTTAAGCCTAATGGATTGAATTTTAAACTATAAATTGTATAAAACTGCTTGTTGTTAAGCCTAATGAATTGATTTTTAGACTATAAACTGTATAAACTTGCTTGTCGTTCAGCCTAATGGATTGATTTTTAAACGAAAGATTATATAAACTTATGTACGTGCCACAATTTTAAGCCTAATATAATAATATCCCCTTGAAATAAGCAACTGCGCCAATTCTACCCTTTCGTGCCTTCATTCACAAAAGCTTAGATCGTTTAATTTTAGTGTTTATCCTAAATCTGGTTCTTAATATATATATATATATATATATATATATACTCAGAAACAGTAATAAAAATTACCAAAAACAGTAACGGGTTAAAAGTATTTTAAAATTTCATTTGCTAACAATTTAGTTTAAGAATGATATATATACTTTTTTACATACTCGGAACATGTAACGCGTATGCATCATAAAAATCCCCATCATTTAAAAATGGTTATTAGTTTTTGATTTAAGTTGTTTAAAATAATACGTGTCAGGCTATTCTACTTATGATAAATATAAATAAAACTGAAACATTAATGCATCATTTTCCATCAAAACAGTGAGAAGTACTATTTTTCACCTGCATATCTTAATGTTAAGTGAGGTATTGTTTCAATAATTTAATAGTTTAGAGATGTCTATAAAAATTAATTTCTTATAATGTTTAAACACAATTATTTTTGTCTCTATTTAGGGGTGTAAAGTATCTAATAATAAATTAATCTAGTTCCAACTAACTAGCTTGTAAGTGAACAAGACTACCTCGTGCCGTGCTCCTAACTCAGTGTTAAAAGTTACTTTCTGATGAAAGCAAGTTATATACGTAAATCAGTACTAAAAATCAACCTCGTGATGGGCATAGATAATTGAGTATACTGTTCTTACTTTTTAAAGGTTGGGTTCCATTAGTATTAAAAACTGACATATGTTACGTTCATACTGAGTGTGCCACTGTCATGCAGTTAGAAGTATCTTTAGATTTGCCATGTGCTTCTGATGTATTGTACTAAAAACGTGTGACAATGTCCCTGTGGTCATACAGATGAGGTTAAATCACGGACTTAATATGCGCTACATATATTAAGTCTGTGGGTTAAACAATCGCTGTCAGTCATCATTGATGACTGTGACAATATCCATATTGTCATACAGATGAGGTTAAACACGTGTTTTATATCATCATTGGTGACTGTGACAATATCCCTGTAGTCATACAGATGAGGTTAAACACATGTTTTATATTATCACTGATGACTGTGACAATATCCCTGTAGTCATACAGATGAGGTTAAACACATGCTTTGTGTCATCCCTGGTGACTGTGACAATAGCACTGTGGTCATACAGATGAGGTTAAACACGTGTTTTCTGTAATTACTGGTGACTATGCAATATATCTATCGCACAATTGTATTTCGTAGGTGTTTCAAGCAATGCTTGACTACCTCTGGTTATGATTATAGCGTAATGACCTGTAGGACTTAATAACAAACAAACTTGATTTGCGTTATATAGTAGTATTGTATGTTTTCTACCTTCTTAACCCCGTCCAACGGTACATGCTCCCCCTATCAACCGTGGGGGTATTATAATGTGACGGTCAATCTCACTGTTAGTCGGTAAAAGAGTAGCCCAAGAGTTGACGGTGGGTGGTGATGACTAGCTGCCTCCCATCTAGTCTTAAACTGCTAAATTAATGACTAAATTAGTATTGGTCAATGAATTCAACAAATAATCCGAATTGGTCAATGAATTCAACAAATGATCAGTATTGGTCAATGAATTCAACAAACGATCAGTATTGGTCAGTGAATTCAACAAATGATCAGTATTGGTCAGTGAATTCAACAAATGATCAGTATTGGTCAATGAATTCAACAAATGATCAGTATTGGTCAATGAATTCAACAAATGATCAGTATTGGTCAACGAATTCAACAAACGATCAGTATTGGTCAATGAATTCAACAAACGAACAGTATTGGTCAATGAATTCGACAAATAATTAGTAATGGTCAATGAATTCGACAAATAATTAGTAATGGTCAATGAATTCGACAAATAATTAGTAATGGTCAATGAATTCAACAAATGATCCGAATTGGTCAATGAATTCAACAAATGATCCGAATTGGTCAATGAATTCAACAAATGATCAGTATTGGTCAATGAATTCAACAAATGATCAGTATTGGTCAATGAATTCAACAAATGATCAGTATTGGTCAATGAATTCGACAAGTGATCAGTATTGGTCAATGAATTCGACAAGTGATCAGTATTGGTCAATGAATTCGACAAGTGATCAGTATTGGTCAATGAATTCGACAAGTGATCAGTATTGGTCAATGAATTCAACAAGTGATCAATATTGGTCAATGAATTCAACAAATAATTAGTAATGGTCAATGAATTCAACAAATGATCCGAATTGGTCAATGAATTCAACAAATGATCAATATTGGTCAATGAATTCAACAAACGATCAGTATTGGTCAATGAATTCAACAAACGATCAGTATTGGTCAATGAATTCAACAAACAGTCTCCTGTATAGATATGGCTGAGTACTATACTTACTATGAATGTTAAGAAGATCAACCAGTGGCGACACATATGTGGGTGTTAGTGTACTAGTTATTTGAGGGTGACTTTTTTTTCTCGATAGCATAGTCCTATAGTTTAGTCATTGTTCTGTTTCATCTAAGCAATCATCGTAGTTACGTGTTTACATAATAAGTTTGAAAGTAATGAAGACGTCACAAAACAGAAAAAAATGTATTGTTTTCAACATTTGTCAATAATTAAAAAAGAAGACTGGATTACGTAGCAGAAATGTTAAAACTGTTAAAAACAAAACTTTCCTAGTTACTGTTATTATATACATGTACGATAAACTATTGAATTTCCAGCCAGCTAGGTGTTAAGTCAAGACATGACCATTAAGCTAAACATCACCAACCTTTACAGGATGATTTCGTAGTTCAACATTACCGACAATTAGATAATAAAATTAATATGTATCACTGCTTTGGGAGAAAATTAGAGTACATTATTTATTTTTACATTATTGTTGTGGGTGAGAATTAGAGTACGTTATTTATTTATTTTTACATTATTGTTGTGGGTGAGAATTAGAGTACAGTATTTATTTTTACATTATTGTTGTGAGTGAGAATTAGAGTATAGTATTT